TTGCACGGGCCTCTGCCTGCTTGCCACAGACCGTCGAACCTGTGCAGGCGGTTCGCAATCCTTAACCCCCAAACCCTACATCCTTCGATTTCACTTTGAGATCTTCGCACTATCGCAGCTACAGTCCTTCCATCTCAGAAGACAGGGCATATGCTTTCAACGAACCCAAACTCACTGCGGAGGGTCAGGGGTGCTGAGCATGGAACAGCAATGCGCGAGATTCGAGCCGATTGAAAATTCTCTCTTACTTGGAGGTTCATGGGTAGTTATAAGTGGGGTTATAAGTAGGGGACTATACTTATAACCCATATTTGGGGACTTATAACCCTACTTATAACTACCCATGAACCTCCAAGTACCGGCTGAAAATCGTAATACGGCACGAACCGGCAGACCCAAAGACCAAGTCACTCATGGTATTGCTCGCTCCTTCACTCCCTACCCTGGAGCACTGGGACCTGAACCCTAAACCCAACATTGAAACACGATATCGTAACTTTTAGGATCTAGGCTGTCGGGAAACCTTCAAACAAGTTTAGCACCCTTAAACTAAATCTCGACAGCCGAACCGAATTGCCGCATCAAAGCTGTCGGGCCGGTAGCCCGAAATTCCCGAGATCCGACATGCAAAAGCAATCCCTTGAACCTCAACCCGATAGGTGCTTGTTCGTTCACGGCCTCTTGTCCAACTCGCAGAGTCTTGCCCACCGGGTGCAGGGTTTAGCGATGTTTACAGTTTAGAAAGCAACCCCTTAGCTCCTGAAGCGGAAATCGCCTACACCTGAGCCTGGACCGAGTGCGTAAAGCCTAGGCCTAATATCCATGCAGGTATCATCATGATAGACGCTGCCTTCGCGAAGGAGCGCGGCAATCCATCCTCAGAGCATGTTCGTTTCTGAGGCTCTGACTCTCAAAATGCAGGGCTCTGGTGCGCGGCTCTTGACCAAACTTCAGAAAAAAAGGCGGAACCCTAAACTCTAAACCCTAAACCCTAAACCCTAAACTCTAAACCCTAAATCCGAGACTCTGAACTTCGGGGTTCCTTTTGAAGTTTCTAGAATGGGGATCTATCCAGGATTTTGAGGTATGTTTAGGGTTTAGGGTTTAGGGTTTCAGGGTTTAGGGTTTAGGGTTTAGGGTTTAGGGTTTAGGGTTAGATTTTTGAGGTATGAAGGGTTCCCTTGAGGATTCTACAATGGGGATGCCCAGGCTTGAGGTTTCTACAATGGGGATCTACAGGATTTTTGAGGTTTTGGAGTTTGCAACTTATATAGTTTAGGGTTTAGGGTTTAGGGTTTAGGGTTTAGGGTTTAGGGCCAAGAAAATTTGAGCAAGATCTCTGAAACAAGCTCGTCACACTGGTCCTGGGAACGAGTTCTGGCCACGTCCTAGCCTGAGCCCTTGAGAAAGCCCTACAAACCCTGCACAAATCCATAAGTGAGTCATAGCCCCCTATCATATGCCCTGAAACCAGACGTTCGGGCAGTCCTGCTTGCGAATTTCCGCGGCCACGATCTGCAAGCAGTGACGGGCTTGTTGGTGGGACATGTTCTTTCGTGGCTTTTAAAGCTGTCACAGCATTTTAGGCTGGAATTCTGTTGTGTGCATGTGAGCGTATGGAGGGCCGAAGGGTCGGGTCACTGGCAAAACAAAAATGCTAAAAGCCCAACGCCCTGATTGCCTAAAGTCTGCGAAGCGTTCCTGCCTTGTGCTTTTTTGAGTCCCAGGGTGAACGATCATCAACTCGAGAAGGCCGAAAAAAGCCTTCTGGCCACTACGATGCGACAGCACCGCCTCTTAGCTACAATAAAGACAACGAAGATGCCCTAAACCCCACACCCCCCTAAACCCTAAATCCTAAACCCCGAAACCCTAACCCCCAAAACCCTTAAACCCCAAACCCCTCAACCCTAAACGCCTAAACCCCTAAACCCTAAAACCCTAAACTCTAAACTTCTAAACCGGAAACCCTAAACCCTAAACCCTAAACCTTTAACCCCTAAACCCTAAAGCCTAAACC